TATAAAAGAGAGAAGGGAAAGGAGAGAGCAATTATAAAACAAATTCTGTGCAGAAGCTTTTTGCTTAAAGCTAAAAACCAAATAGATATTATACATTTGCAAATCCATCCGAAGCGCAAATATGAAGAAAAAAAAATAAAGGCTGGTGCCATGATGCTTTCAATTTTCATAATTATAAGGTTTTTCGTAATGAAATAAGCCTATTCAAATGAGCCGTCATAAATCAAGAATGTTTCCAAATAATAAAAAATGAAGCTCGTTAAGTTGAAAAAAAATTGAGAAACAAAAAAATTATTAACTGTAAGAATACGACAAAAGAAGGAATAAATGGGCGAAAACAATATGAATGTCATTAAGAGTTGGAGTGGACAATCATCATCCCTTATATCCAATGAAGGTAGATTTAATCTAAATCTACGATTATCCGGGGTAGACGCTAATATTTCATATGCCATGCGGGAGATAAAATTCAGCATAATTTTTAGATCAAAATTTCTCAAGAAAGAGAATATCGTGTGATATATATTATAAATATTGATAGCTGCTTTACTATGTAAGTAAATTCAAAACCAGTAAACAGATCAGTAAACAAAACAAATTATAATGTGAAATATTTTCTACCCGAATTTTAAAGCAGCTTTGGATAAGACGAATGTAATTGATGAAATAAAAGCTTTCCGATACAATGAATGATTCAAGGATTACTGGGAATTCAAAAATGGTTCCATAATCGTTTTTTAAAAAACAAAAAATCTATACATCTTTTTGAATAATTTTCCAAATGTTAATTTGAAATCTTGCTTTTCTGTAAATTGAAATTTTATGAATGTTATCGGTTCCATGAATGTTATTTGATGAAAGGAAAAGGAATGAATAGACGGTGAGATAAATCCCCGAGAGAATATCAAAATTAAATTAATTCTGTGATGCTGTGACTGACACCTAGTTTAAATAATGCAGATGAAGAAGTCGACTCTCTCTTTGTATCATACACATCTCATATTTGTATGTGGGAGCTAATTTAAAGATTTGCGCAATTAGCTGATTGAGTTATTCTTAAGAAAAAATCCACAGAGCAAGAATAGAATGAATAGATAATCTTTAGAAACATATTAACACTATGATATTTTTAAGGCAACACTGAAATTTGTAATTTCTAGATGGTTGATAACCTAATGATAAATGCAAATAAATTGAAAAATAAATTGAATAATATCAAGCTTAAAGAATATTGCAGTTTTTCTTTTTTTTTTAATTTTCGTATTGAGAATTTTGCATTCTAAGGAATAAGAAGAATATAAGTTTTCAACATATCTGTGATTTTTAAAGGAAGAAATGTGCATAAAAGACTATCGAAAAATAGAAAGGGAATTGATGCTTATAAAAAAATTTCAACATATCTAAAAAAAAGTTTGATATATAATTTGAAGTGAGAAAAGAATAAGTAAATTGTATAAAAAGGATAAGTTTCTAAACTGAAATATTGCGCTTATTCTTTGATGGATCCAGAAAATTTGTTTTTTTTTAGGATACCACAAAACTTAATGTATTTAAATGTAAAATGAAATATTTCAAGAAAATTTAAGAGGAAACTTAAGAAAGCAATGGTTTAGATAAAATATTCACCTCGATTGCACGGCATTACGTTTTGGTCATGTTCAGCTGTAAAAGCAACATAAGACATCGATTGGACACCACGCCGACAGGCTGCTGTTATCGAAGTAACCACAGCCTGTGCAGTTGCTGCAGCTACTACAAACACTCAATCACTTCTTTCCAATCACCTGAAAGATACAGTAAGAAAGATCAATTCATGCTGAATAAGATCTGAACACCTTATTATCTTTTAGAGTGCAGAAATAGTTACGTTATTAAGCGTATTCCTTCATCTTATGTTTTATGAACAACAAAGTTACTTTGATTTAATTTTTTGAAATGAATACTTGTCAGGAAAATTGGTGCACAAGCGCATTTTTGAATAATGTAAGTGTAGGTCTGATAGAAGCAGTGGACAACAAAGGTAATAGTCGTTCGACATTAATTATGGCTCAACTATCAGTCACGAATTGCTTCTGCTTGTTGCAACGGATAAACATTATCACTCTTGCATATTTCGAAATTTTCTGAGGTAATTTTCAAGATAAATGGATTAAACAGAAAATTTTTAGAATCACTTCGAAAAGTGATTGAAAGTCCAAATCAGAATTAATCAAAAGTAGAAAATAAGGAGAGTAATTGTATCGCCAATGTAATGCACATATGATACAGAATGCAAATGTACGAAAGCATTTGCCAAAGTATATCATCGTGATTACAAGTGACTTTTGTCTCGACCTTTGATAGTTCCTTGCGGGTAATAAGCATGAACGGGAATATTTCAAAACAACCTGAAGCATTTTGTTCCAAGTTGCGAAATTATAGTGGAAATATGAAAATATAATTGCTTGTAAAATAGCTATAGAAGCAAAAATGGATATCTCCACTACACCAGTGATTTATCGGATGATGAGAAACTGATAAATTTGATACTAGTGTTTTAAATTAATTTTAATCTTTAAATTTTTATATTAAAGTAGCAGGATATTTTCCGAAATTTACAGAAAGTTCAATATACAAAGCAAACAGCATTTTCGAAAAATATTCTAAAGTATAAGTGTTCTGCAAGCAAAAATATATAAAATGAGAATGAAGATGTTTTGAAGTTTTTCATAGATTTCAAAATGAGCATGGATTCAGTGCTTAATAATGAAATTACTCCATGGCATTCAGATTTCTCTACGTTAGAGTAATAATATAGAATTGATTTAACGATGTTATTCTTTGTTCAACGAAATTTGAGATATATTGTTGAACTGAGAATAAGCGAAAAGTGTACAGTTCGTCATCAGCTGATAATACAGATTTCAGAAGGATAGTGGAATGTATAGATTTAGGACGACCATGAGGAATATACCTAATGTAATTAGATTTTGACGAAGTGGAAGCGATAGCTGGTAGAATAAGAATGATGCTGGAGATGATGATGATGCTACTACTCCTGCTCCTCCTGCTACTGCCACTGATGGTGTGTATTTGGGAGAAAAGGAAAGGGGTGGCAGTTCACGCGTGAAATCAAATGATTTCGCTGAAAACTAAGTGAACCGACACGCGAGAGGCGAAGGGCCTAATCAGGCGTATATTTGATGTATGTATGTGAGCTGTGCAGTTGTTTCTGCTTCACCAACTACACTGCAGGGGTATTCTTTTCTTCCTACATTATATTATTTGCGAACGCACCATTTTTTTGCAACGAAACAGCTATTCCACTGCTCAAAAAGGCAACCTACCAATAGGACATCATCCGGTACTGAAAACAACTGCTAGCCGATTGTATTTCTTTTCGAAGAGTGGAAGCACAATTCTTATTTTGGTGTAGCGCTTTACTCATTTTAAAATTTCTCGCACTTTGAATTTAGAAATGAAAAATTTGTTTAATGAAGTGAATTGGTAGAAAAGATTTACCAGGATAGATCAAAATAGCAGAACTGAATCATTTTTAGGTAGACGTCCAAAAAAGGCTTGCTCCAGAGCACCGTCTTGTATCATTCGATCCTAGTGTGTATGTGTATGTTGTTGTATATATGTGTGTGTGTGTGTGTGTGTGTGTGTATGTATGTGATGTCTACAAATTTGTCTTCTTTTCCGTGTCACAGGCAGCAGTTGCACATACATATGCATGTACGCAGCGCAAGCCGCAACGCCTCCAACGTAAGTTTTTAGTTTTGAAAGCAAAATCTTCCACGGGTTTGTTGGGACGGAACGTTCAGCGTTATACTGGTGAGCCAATAGAGCAGATCAATGAAGGTGAGATAGACCAATCAGTTGCAGGCAATTACCGTATCTATGGGTTTCTACCCCTACTCTACAAATTGTATGCACTTAAAGCACTGCTCGTTCTTCTCTTGTTCCTTCCCTCTTTTTACATTTTCACAACCCTCATCCAGTTATTTTTGGTTACTTAAGTGACGGATGGTACTTTTTATAGGTGCTCAAATTTATATTATTACATTAAACCTGCAATTCTGATATAGCTATTTATTTACCTTTCCTTATTGACCATCCTTCTTACCCACCCTATCTTCCATATGGTGTCATATTTATTTTGCATAAATTTTGTTAGAAAATTTGAAAAATGCTCACTGAATTGTCTGTCACACTGAATGCAACAAATGTCAACGGTAATATTCTAATAATTCACAATTTTTTTCAAAATGAGAAAAAAATCATTAAATCAATTAAATGATGCGATGGTTGGGTTTGTTGCTTTCGGTCAATCCTCTCCATCTCTGCCACTCTCTCTTTCCCTCTCAGGAAAACTTATAAAAGATAATTCTATATTATTACTGACTCTAAAGTAATTAACAAAATAACGTCTTACTGATCTGCAGAAAGTTTAGTCCCATCTCTTTTTAATCTAAAATCACTTCTCAAATATATTTTAATAAGCATTTTTAGCGGTACTTGCTTTTAATTATCATTTAACAAATTTGATTAAAAAAATATTTCAATTCTGAAAAGGAACAACTTACATAATGTGGTTATTAATTTTTGACATAATTAAACTTTGTGAACAGTTAAATGTATAATACGGCTAAGGTGACATATAGTATATGCATATTTTCTGATTAGCCAAGCATCCTGCCGTTTCTTTAGACAGAGTTATAGACAGGCGGCAGAAGTAAGCCTGCTGCACTTCAAATCGCATAATATTAAATCTATAAGATTATCCTTATTCTTCACATCATTGTTTGGAAATCTTTGCCGTCATCACTATTCACCATGAATTTGTGGTTTTAGCAGGTCGTGCAAATCAAATAATCGATGATTGGGTAATTAAACTGCTCTGAAATTAAAAACTGGATTCGACTATTATCAAATTTTTCGTGTGGTGAAAAACTGCGCTCTATTGAGTTAAACATTCTATACTGTTTTCAGTTTTTAAATAGATTATGATCATTCTAATTAATTACTGCACAAGACTAAAAAATAATTGATGTAACAATAAATTTGAGTTTATGTAGTTTTTTTCTCATTATTAAAGTGATTCTTCATCAAAGTTGAAAATAATACTTTTTATTATTTTTAAAGCATATCAAAAAGTTAAGAACTTGAATATCTAATGTAAGCATTTGCAATTTGTGGTAATTTTGGTGAAGTTTCATGAGATTTACACTTTTCCTAAGCTTGAACATTCTTCTAAAAAATTTTCTGCTTTTTGAATATTTGATTGCGTTTAATATTAAGAGTAATAATGAACAGAAGACAGAAATTCTAATTAAATGATTCATTTTTTACAATTTATTATTCTGAAAACGAATCTTTAAAAAATTTTCCTAGAACAAGATAAATTTATTTAACTTCAAGAACCTTACGACTTGTTATAGTTGTTATACAGTGTATGAGCTAAGTTCATGAAATATGCAGCCTAGATAGGCTGGTCATATTGGCTTGAAAAGCACATAGCAATGCTGAGAAGTACATTACGATGCTAATAACGAGCTCAAATGCTAATCCTTCTAATCTAAGTTCATCCATAATTCTTTCTTTTTCTTTCCAATCGAATAGATTCGAAATGGCATTCTCGATCTATTCGTATTACTCACGTTTTTCCACATTCATTTCAATAGATAAAAACATCAATTTCTTACACAATGCATTCAAAAGATGATAATTTGCACAATGATAAAAGCCTATTAATGATAATATTAATACATTACTTATGGTAGCAATGCAGTATTTGGTCCTTGATCAAAAATGATAAGGACCAATTTATAAATAAGTAGATTATTAAAAAGTCTAGCTTCTGAAGTTTGTCAATATGAATAAAATGACAGATTTCAAATTTGCAAATGTCATATGCGATTGGCTAATTTATCAGAATCAGTAATTTAAGATAAATTGATTGACAGATACACAGAAATTATGTCTTGTTGCATATGATTCGGTGATTGCAGCTCATGGTTTAAGGTATTTATGGAAAAATGCCAACCTAACTGTCAAACTGATATGTCATAGCAATGAACTCTTCACAAAAACACCAATCTCTTGCTTGTATAAAAGTATTTTGTCAAATGTAATAAAAAAAGAATCCAAAAAAAATAACTGAAAATGAAAAAATGTATAATTATTTTATACAGTGATTGATTATGGAAGTTATGAAAAAAAAAAACTTTTTTCAAAATTTTTTGACGAACGATATTTTCAAGTATAAATCGCTTTTTTTTCACTGGGAATTTCTTTATTTGATTATTTGAAAAAGGAATTTGCAACTTAGTTCAGAAAGATGGATTTCATTTTCGAATAAAAAAATTGAGGATTCAGACAGAAAATGGAAAATAGTAAGTAATAAGTAATAGATCTCAGGTTGATATGAAGTGTAATTGTTTTGTCTATAAAATTTTTAAATATAATTAATTTAAGCAATGAAATGCGTATATATTTTACAGTATTAGTAGTTCGATTCTGTTTTAAAATAGAACGATTTTTAAACACATTTTGGATTCTAGTATCAGGATTTTCCACGTTTCAAAAATGACTCTAATTACATACAATTAAGTATTGATAATCATTGAGAAAAATTGTGAACTATGACCTAAATTATAGAAGTAGATCATGAAGTTAGAGAGTACGGTGAGGCAGGCTTCATGCCCTCAGTATCTTGATTGCTTATCTGCATGTCATAGTTTGACGTAATTGTGTCAAGGTACTCCAATCATTTCTTATCAGATTCCCATCAAACAAATAAGCACTCACTGTGACATATGACGAACATTGACAAATTGCTCCCAGCATCAATGACACCTCAATATTTTGTTATTTGTAACCCAAGTCAAGCTATGACAAAAATTTACTGATTTCAAAAAGAGATCAATATCAGTGTTTTCTGGACAAATTGATTTAATAGAGTAACACTTAAAATAATATTGAGTAATTTAATAAATTTTAATAAATATGCTAACATCTCTTGTTGATATTGAAATATTCGTAATTTAACAACAAAATATTAAAATTGTGAAAAGCATTTTAGAATGTCGAAAATAATTGATAGTTTCTGAATAATGAGGTCAGATGTTAAAAATCGTGTCATAAAATTGCCCTGGAGCAGATAGCAATTTGACAGCTTGGCTAATCTTCCAAGCTGCAATAGTATCTGCAACATAGCAATCTGCAGCACCTTATGCAAATAGAATGTAATTTTGACTCCTTCATTATGAAATCATCAAAAACAAAAGAGTAGTAATGCAATTACTTAGAAAATGAGGAAAGACGAAGAAGGAAGAGAAAGAAATGAAAAGAAAGAGAAGTAACCAACATTGTAAGTGGTATTATTACGAGGAAATAATATGCAAATCATTATAATAAGATAATTGTTATTGTACCGATTGATTTCCCTCTGTATTCGCTAGCTGAATCAGGTCAATATTATCATTGAAGCTAGTTATTGTTCCGGTTCACTGGCTGTACCTCTAATTCAAGAATTACTCAATCGCATCCTTTTGGTGTACAGTTCATGCGGTCACCAGCCAGGCAATTAGTGCATAGCACGGTAAAAATAGCATGATCTTTTCGCATATCGTTGGAAACTACAAGTTAAGGGGAGAAAATCCGTTCGTTTCTGTCATCTAGCGTAACCCATCTTGTCATTTTTCAGACCTGCCATGAACTTCAATTTCTTTAGTTAACCGCCTCAAATACTTCAAAAATTATAAGAATCATGCAAAAAAGTATTTTCAAAGTGGTTCCAATCTGAAGTAGTTTGCTTAAGTTAATGGAGAGTGACAAATGCAATAGGATTTCTTGCAGTTTTTAAATTAAATTAAGGATAAAAACATTTTGAAATATTGATTGAAGAATTTTTTATCTCGATAAATACTTGGCATTCCTGCAAGGAAGTGATTAAACATTGAAGACCAGAAAATTCCTTTATCCAATTTATTAGGAATTTTTCAAAGTGATCTATTTTAATCTATCAAAGATTCAATTTGATGGGTTTTTGCATAAAAATTATAACGAAAAAATGTGGAAAAAAATTAGAATAACGGGTTGTGCGTAAGCTTTCTGAATGAAATTTTATTTTTCTGAAGCAAATACTGAGGTAAATTATAAAAGCATAAGCTGGTATAAAGAACACAAATGACGTAAATTGTACTTATTTAAATGTTATGCTTTAAATAATGGGGTGTACCCTGATTTTTTACTGATAAACATGCTTCAGTGCTCCAGCATAGAGTATAATGCAA